CATCCTGGACTGTAATTTGTGTTAAGTCACATTCAAGCATGTACCACTGCTGATGTATATGCTGATGTCCATGTGTTACTGATTATTCTGTCGAGAGCTACCCTAAAAGTGCTGGAGTTCTGCAGAAGAGAATGAGTAAAGGAAGTAGGACGTGATGGAGACTCAAGAAGTTCATGCATTCTGCAACAGTGACTATGGATCAAGGTGGAGGATTGATTCCAGAAGAGCAGGGCCACCAGAAAGTCTACAAAGAAGAAAGGTGAGTGAGACTGAGCTATGAGGAGACAGATGTGGAGACTTCCTGGAGGACATAAATACTCCAAGACCTATAGAAGCTACTGAACTTTCAGACTTCTACTTTCCGGATTACAAACCTGGCAGTAACAGCCATCAGAGACAGCACAGAGTAAGGCTAAGGAACATCTAAGTTAAAATTTTCTATCTGGCCTACTAAATTGGGTGATGTCCCATGAGGTGGGTACTTCATGGTAGGTACTTACTTTCTCTCTTTCCTCATTTATAAAAGGTCTATATGAACAAGATAGTGGAAGGAGCACAGAATTGGGAAGAAGCACGTCTGGATGAAGTTCAGTGCCACACAGTAAGGTGTGCCGTACTTCTTCCTTCCTTCCTCTACCAAAGAGGTAAGCAAATGCTATGTGCTCTGCCTTCAGACCAGAGTCGAAAGCTGACTCTTTCTTCCACCACCACCTTCTGGCCCAAACCACCAATCTCTCTCTCATCTGGGTTATTTCAAGGACCCCGTAAATGGTTCATCACAGCTGCCAGGATCCTGATGTGAAAACACAGGTCAGGCAATGAACCTTTCTTTCAAGCTCCTGCAATGAACTGACATGAGTAAAAGCCCCAAGGCTCTACCGGAAACACAACTGAAAGCTTGGCTCCAGTCTCCCCTGACCCACCGTCTTTTCTCTCCAGAGCATATACCCATCTGTATACTTCACTTAATTGCCTGGCTCCTGGGGCTGGAGCAATAGCATAGCAGGTAGGGCGTTTGCCTTGCATGCAACCAACCCAGGTTCGATTCCCAGCATCGCATATGGTCCTCTGAGCACCGCCATGGGTGATTCCTGAATGCAGAGACAGGAGTAACTTCTGTGCATTGCTGGGTGTAAACTCCGCCCCCCCCTCCCCGGCCAATTTTCCTGGCTCCTGAATCTCTCCTGAAACTAGAAAAATGACCAGAGAAGGACATGGAGCTCTGTTTTCTCATTTATGAATCTGCAGTGTCTAGAACAGTGCCTGGCACATAGAAAAATCTTAAACCGTGCTTAAATCTACTAAGCAGATGCAGTTTATTTGGTGGGTGCTGAGTTATGGATCCAGGGCTTGACACTGGCAAGGCACATGTTTTACTACCAGGTCAAAACCCTGGTTCCTCATCAAAATAAACTGCTTAGATATTTTGAAACCAAGCATTCCATCTACATTCTCTATGACTGGCAATCTTATTCATCTCAAATCTTGGCTACTTTTTTATAGGCAGCCTCTTTCATGTCAATGACCTTTTAAATCCACATAATACCTCACTCTACCAAACAGCACCTGAGCCAGGACAGCGGCGAACAGGGTCGCCATTTGCAGTTATCTCATCAGCTCTAGGAATGCTGTACCAACCTGGGGTCTTTGCTAAGGTTTTACTCAGCCAAAGCATATATAATTATTTAGTTTTTGAAGTTGGCACTGACGTCAAATCAACACGGGCTAGGAGTATCATCCTAGTGATGTATTGTCTTTGGACACTTATGGCCCTGTCAGAGGTGGCGACAGAGAATTATTTATACATCACATCAGGAATCCTATGGACCAAATATATGCTGGGAGCTGCCCCAGGCAATTTTCTTTTCATTGCACAAAACATATCATCAAGAGACATTAAAACTTATATTTACCCTAGTGTTATTTACATTACTATAATATATAAGAACATACCTTATTATATCATTATATGCCAAATATGTTATATATAATTCTATAGAATGTAGATGGAACAAGTAACAACTTCCAACGAAATATAGCTATGAAAAGTAACAGATAAATGCATTTTGTCTGTACCTAGATATACAAATTAGTTGGCCAATTTTGTGTATGTATAGAGATAGATAGACATAAATACTGGCACACAAATTACTATTTTTATTAATATATGTGTACATATTTGCCTATACTCTAAATTGTAGTGCAATATTTTAAAAAATATAAAACTTGGGCTGGAGAAATAGTTCAGTGAGTGAAGGTGCTTGTCTCATATATGGCTAACTAGATTTGACCCTTGGTACCTCATCTGGTCCCCTGAAAACCAGTAGGAGTGATCCCTGTGCACAGAGCCAGAAGTAAGTCCTGAGAACAGCCACATATAGTTTAAGCCCCACATATATATGTATATGTATTATATAAAAACTTAAGGATATATATTTCTTTTTGAAATTAACTATAATATTAAATAACTAACAACTGTACCAATAATAAAAATATCCAAAAATTTAGTATTACCACAATAACTTTTGGGATTTACTAGCTTAAAGGTAAAGGTAAAGGTAAAGGTAAAGGCCCTCCCGTTGTTCGTCGATTTGCTCGAGCGGGCCCAGTAACGTCTCCATTGGAGACTTTGTTGTTACTGTGTCTGGCATATCGAATACGTCACGGGGAGCTTGCCAGGCTCTGCCTTGTAGGTGAGATACTCTCGGTAGCTTGCCGGGCTCTCCAAGAGGGGCGGAGGAATCGAACTCGGGTCGGCCATGTTGGCTGCGTGCAAGGCAAATGCCCTACCGCTGTGCTATCGCTCCAGCCCTCGATTATTAGCTTAATGACCAAGAAACAGCAAATGTAGATGAACTATTATTATTGTTATCACTATCATCATCATCATCATCATAATTACCGTTATTATTTGGTGGTGCTATGGGGATACTCCTGGTTGAAACTCCTGGTTCAGTGCTCAGGGTCACTCCTATTGGTGCTAGGGAATCATGTGGTGCTACAGCTGGAACTCAGGCCTCCTATATGCAGAGCATATATTGCAGCTCATTCGCTATCTCTCTATTTTTGAGGATTTGAGTGGCATAGTTTATTTTCTTACTTTTGCAGTTGTTGTGAAGAATGTTCGTAAACACACACACACACATATCAAAATGCTTCAAGAGCACTTTGTAAAATTTCAAATTTATTCTTTTCTTTGAATAAACATATTTATATTTTGAGTAGTATGTAAAATTTCAAACTTATTCTTTTCTTTGAATAAACATATTTATACTTTGACAAGCCAGTTAAGTCCATAGCTTAATAAATTCATTTTCACATTCTTCAGTGGCATATATTCCAAGTATCAGTAGTCATAAAACAACAAGAAAAAGAACCCCTGTTAGCACTTCCTACTGTATATAGAGTAGACAGAAATGTGATGGAGAACTGACATTCCTTTCACTTTGAATTAAACACAGCAGCACTGTAAATCTCTAGAGATATTAACTTTTGCATGTGGGTAATACTGGGAATTCTATAGGCAAAGGTAAAGTTATATTTGACTGGCAGAAAGCCAGTCAGCCTTCATGCTGCCCTAGTAGTAGGTGGTCAACCACTCGGTTCTCATCATCAAAACTCTTGGCTGGAGTTGCTTAAACTATCTGGACCTCAACTTCTTTTGTGTCATGCATTCTGGAGATAGATACATGACAATGAAATAAAAATGAGGGAGAATGGAAAGGGTAAGCAATTGGAAATGGCCGTGAGGAACAGCAGGTCCAAAGAGCACAGCAAGAGAACACAACACACAGGTTGCATCTCCCAACAGGTATCACTAGATACGCACAGTCTGATGTCTTGGCTTCAGGAGAAAAGGACTTGGCAACTAAGGTAAGGAGAGATGACACCCACAGCTTGCCTTGTCCCTCAACATATATGCAGAGGATCTTCTAGAATTCACAGTACATGTTTCCAAAGAAGCCTTCAGGTTTGATGAGAGGAAGTACATGCTCCTTGATGCATCTGGTTTCGTTGTAACAGTATATAATGCAGCTCTCTAATAAATTTTACCACAAAATTTTTTAAATGTGCCTGCATTCTGCTAATTTATAAAAAGCAGGATGCTGTCGGATAGAATTTCATGAAAATGATCTAAAAACCAGACTGTCAAAAGTGAATGGTACTCAGGCAGAACTAGGGGAAAAAAACTACATGGAAACCCCTAGAAAGGTTTCCTGTGACTGTTGGGACAATGTACTGTCAGGCAGCTCACATTACCGTGATTTGCAAGTTACTGTGAGGTCACAGGAAATCCTGAAATGTTTTCCACATTTTCCTTTATACATTTTATGTCAAATTTCCTGCAATTGGAATCATAAACCCTCCTACTGCTGGAATCTCTTCTGAAGAAAGGAGATCTTGTGATACTCCCCCATGAACACCTAATAATTCAGTTCCTACCAGTGTAAGGAGAAACGGAAAAAGAGAACTGAAAAAAAGAAAAGAAAAGAAAAGAAGAATATGATAAGGCAGAAATGTCCGATGCCTTAACTACTTCAAATGGAACATTAAACTACTATCATGTAGACAACTCTGAAAGTGCATTTAATCTCGTGACAGTAGACTTTACTTTGGACTGGGAGATAACAGAAGAAATGATTGACTGTCCCCAAGACAGAAGCACACCAGCTCCCCAACTTTCTTACCCACACTGTATTTGTGGATTTACGGTCTAATTTTAAAATGGCATCTTCTCTATGGTTATTCTTAACATGATTCAAGTTCCTGACAACCATGGTTTATTGCCCCGGCTGTTTATGAAAGGATAAGTCAGATTTAAGTAAAAAAGTCCAACTTTAAAGTTGTCGCCCAAGATTTATCACTTAGCAATAGAGGAACTTAAGAAAGAGCTTTTCAATTGTGAAATGCTATTTTAATATAAATCCAAGTCAAACGATCAAGGTTCATTAAAGAATACCAAGGTTTTTAAAGGTTTAAGAGTTTTTAGAACACATTACCTCTCCTGACATATCTGGTGCCATTGGAACAGCAGGCCACAGAGATGAGTAGATTCCAAAAAACACCACCCAGAGTGCGATGCTACCCCAAATTGCAATGTGGCTGAACTGTGAAGGAAGGGAGTCCGTGTTAAAGACTTTAGGTAGACTGAGTACCCTAACACCAATGCAGCATTTACAAGTTCTCTTATTAAATTTTTACCACATCTATAAAATACCAACAGGAATGTCCAAGTGTGTGTATATGTGTTAACTGGATTGTTCATTAAGTGCTAATCCTTACCACTAGTTATAATGTTTGTGGCATTGAGAAATGATTCTTCTCTACCTTCTTTGGTGATTCTGTCTACTTACCCCTATTATCCTTAAGCCTACTTTAATTTTGTTCTGCGTGCTCGCACTAAAAGTTTTTGAAAACTAAGGATATTATCGATGTGCTGATAACTATCAAATCCAAGTTTCTTGTGTTCATCTTTCTCCTCAGCAACAACCTTTCATCTCTTTTTTTTGTTTACTGGGTGTCTCTCCCCGGAAGTGAACACAATTCAAACTTATGTATCTAAAATGGCGCATTCTAGGATGCTGATTAAATATTTGTAAAGGTCAGGGTTTAGCTCTTTAGTGACTATTATTGGTCTTCAGAATCACTTTCAAGTGAACTTTCTGCTGAATGGTCATCTTTGTGGTAGATTGTACTAAGAAAAGATTCCTAGTCAACATGTTTTAAAGCCTCATCCCTTCCTGGGCTATTACAATATGCATTACTATCTTAAAGGCTATGAGAAATCTTGTAGTAAGCATTATTTATTTAAGTCTGCATTATTCATGTTTCAATAATCTCCAGTTCCCGCCCATTTGCCCTTAGCACTCCACAATGAACTACCTGTGAAACTAGGGTATAAGGTTAGGAACAACCTAAGAGCTAGGGTACAATAAAGTTAGAATAAAGGAAAAAAATTATTTTTAATCTCTTTAGTGACAATATAAATAATTGACGTGTTTGGTCTGCGATTGCAAAGACTCTTACCCAGGTCCAATATGATGTCTCCAGTCCTGCTTTCAAACATACTGTTATCACCACAAACTGAAACAGAAGGGAAAATATTTTATCAAATGGTTGAAAGGGAAGTTTATAATGAACTGGCATGTCTAAATCAGACTATGGGTGTATAGGTTATTGGAAGCTTGCTATTTATGACCTGGAAACAAATGGTTGGTGGCTGAACACTCATTGCAAACAGTAAGAACTGCTACCGGCAGCCTCTCCCACCAAACTTCCTGCCTCTCCTCACCCACCAGGCATGCTCCCTCCAAGAACTCTTAAGCATGGGTCTGCCGATCTTTTCATTAACTCACAAGCAGTGAAGATTATACATCTATAGTAACTAGGGTTTTCCATCTTGTTTTAAACTTTCTTTTATTTCGTATGTAATTTTAATGATAAGTTGTAAAGAATTTTAATGGTAAGTTGTAAAGGTAATAAAAGTGGATACACAGAAATCTAAATAAAATTCCAAACTGTTACTCCAAAACCTGAAATAAGGTGTTTCTACCCACCCCATCCTCACATGCTATTTATTCTCAAGTGCAGAAACCCAGTTTATCGGACTCCCTTGTATTTTCCACAGGGTAGTTACCATGGTTACAGTGGCCATGCTCTAGACTCAGGCTATTGGCACTCAGGACTCCATGTTTAGTAAGGATTTGGGTTAATGAACAAGGCCACTAACTTGACATTTCTGTGTCTGAGTTCCTTCAATGTAACTGGGACTGAAAGGCTCAAAGGGATTTCATTGTAAAATACCTAAAGCAGAGGTTAGCACTGCAGTATTATCTATTTCTGCTTAATAAAGAAATATGATATACTGTTTAGTTCATGTGACCAATAGTGCTTGAAGTTCTGCTTTTTTGGCCCTTTCAGGGCTTGCACATAGTATCTGATTAGAAACTTCACAGTGGGGTCATGAAGTTAGGTTGAAGTCAAGCATTTGGGTTTTCTCGGTGGGGCATCTAATAACAATTTAGGGTGAAGAGTTAGAAATAGAGCTTTAAGAAATGTAAAAATTAGCTCAAGATATATATATTTTATATATAATATTTAACATATAATTATATATATATATTTCTAAGGTAAGATAAAGCCTGACCTAACATGAAAGATCTAGGTAATTAACAATATCTTTGGGAGACATCCATAAGACACAGATTCATTTCTCAATGGACTCTACCAAGCATTCACTGATTCCTGTCTTGACTCACGTTGTTTAAGTATGAACCTCCAAACATATTTTTTTTCTTTTTCTTCCTACTTCAATTGTTAATGCTAATAGATAAATAGAGAAGAGGCCACTGGATTTGCCAAAATCCTGGTCTTTCTTTTACTTAATGGAGATAACATCCTATTATTTAGTTCCTCAAATACTTGATATTTAAATATCATACTATGGATTTGTTGGGTGTTTTTTACAATAAACTTAATTGCATGAATAGCCACTTGGTATCAGACCACAACAGTCCTTCCACTGGGGTCATGGAGAGGGAGAGAACCATGAGTGGAAAAGAAGGCCACTGGTCTGAGAACTCAGAACTGACGGTTGGAGCAAACTTTTATCAGGATACCAGTGGCATGACCTCAGGCATTAGTATTCAAGTAGTGCCTTTGGCTTTTAAGGGGAACAGTGGTTTTAAAATGCTCGTTTGGTTCTTGGCAGAGAGCTTGTATTCATCTGTTGTACCTCCATAGGGATTTGGCACAGTGACAACAAAGAAGATTCTATTGCCTCGTATGGGTTAAATATCACCCCAAATGAAGAGTTTTTGCTCCCATTTTAGTTATCATGAAACTTTAGATTGATTGCTGGCTAAATACCAAAGCTGCATAGCAATATTTGCTACAGAGTCAAGAAAATTCAAAATATTAACAAGGACAGTGAAATAAAAATGGCAAAAAGGGGTAAGGAAGAGAAAGGGAAGAACTTATGCAATTAAAGAAACACCAAAGCAACCCATGTCCTAAAAAGTCAGTGGACCCTAAGGAACTCTTAAGAGCCTAATATAAAACCATCCCTTAGCAGTCAAAACTGTCTTATTTCATTTTGAAAGAGCAGTGCCAACAACCTTCAAATCCAGACCTGTGAGCATTTATATCAGAAAATAAGCTGAGCATTATAAAAGGATTTCATTTAATATGCAAACCAGGCAAGTGAACTATACTCACTGTGTAAACAAAGTTTCCCAACAGTAGATAATCCGAGGTCTTCCCATTCCCAAACACTGTACCTACAGGGAGAGGAGAGAGGTATGTGAGGAATGAAATGAAGTGGTCTAGAATCCCATCAACAAGATGCCCATTAGAAGGACTAAACAAAAGAACCAAGGGTGATACCATCACCTAGAAATGTGGCTGGAAAAAGCATTGCAATGAATCTCCACAAACTGCCTCTTCTATGAGTGACCAGTGAAAAAGAAATTAGCAATAGTTAACAAAAAAAAAAAAGAGGAAATCTGACAACAGCAGCAAATAAGTCAAGCAAAGCTGAATGCTTTGGGCATTAAGACAGAAGACACTTGCACCTCTTATAAAGAACTTTGTTAAAAATATGGCTTTAGGGTGGCTTCTTATACTCTCTCAATAAAGCCGTACCTTGTGGGACAAGGGGATTTGTAGAAGCTGATCAAAGAGAAATGAGCAACACCAGTATGATTCCAGGCACATGGGTCTCTGAAGGTCTGGCTGAACTTAGGGTTATACTGAAGTATTTGTTATTCCAGCAATAGCTAACCACAAACGTGGCTTTCACTGAGGAGGATGGTAGCTAACCCATGAAAATCACTCTATTACAGATGAAATCCAAATGCAAATAAAAAGTAACTAAATAATTCCATGAGATGTACCATTACAAATTTAAAATCTGTGGTTTGTATAACGTTTAATTTATGCACATGTTCAACATTATTGATTCAAAGTCTAATATGCAATGACAAAATAAGTCAGACTGAAATTAAGGGATGAGACAGGGAGTGTATCACTGACAGAAAGAGAAGAGGGAGTCTGGAGAGTTTTGGACACAAAGACCAGACTTGGATCGGTCCTGAGCTGCGTTATTTCTAATCAGCTTTCATGGAACTCAAATTCTTAATAGATGGAGTGAAACTATTGGCCATGGAGGGGTTTTGAGGATAAAATGAGATTTTAGATGTAAAATACCAAGCAAGGAGCCTGCTCTAGAATGTGGCTCTTCCCTCTCTATAGTTTGTGATTAAAAGTTGCCAATTGGAGCTGCTTATTAGTCATATCACAGGGCAGTTTGGAAGGTCCCTTTCTCTGCAGGACAATTCAGGATTAATAATATAGGATCTGATGTGCTGTGTCTTCTGGATATGCTGTGGATACACTTATTCACAAAACATGTCTGCAATGAATCAGACAATTTTCATGATACAAATGAACAAATCTTTCCAGATATCTACAAAATAATGGAAAGTATCTAACTTCTATGTTTCTCCACAGGTCCCATAATCATTTTTAAGTTACTAAAAATAATTTTATTTGTGTCCAACTAAGCTCTTACATCGCCATTGGTTTATCAAAAGAATTGCTGGATTTTTCAGGTTTATCATTTGGACGGTTTAGGCAAATTATTTACTTTCCTACTTTGTACACTCTCAATTCCGTTACATTTAAAAGATCAGAGAACATCCCAAAAAGCTTGTGCATGTGTGCCCCTCTCGGAGAGCTCGGCAAGCTACCGAGAGTATCTCGCCCGCACGGCAGAGCCTGGCAAGCTACCCATATGTATTCGATATGCCAAACACAGTAACAACAAAGTCTCCAATGGAGACGTTACTGGGCCCGCTCGAGCAAATCGACGAACAACGGGAGGACAGTGACAGTGACAGTGATGTGTGATTTATAGCTATCCATATCTGCCACATTAAAATTAAGAATAAGCATTAAAGATGTAAATTTAACTAAAATTAACAGGCAAATATTCAATATGTGTAATACAAATGGATTTTAGGAAAAATCATTTTCCAAAACCAAAAAAAAAAATAAAGTGAGAAAATTGGCATTTCTCTTTTACAGTCCTTTAATGTTTGATTCAGGAGAAAGCTGCTAGATTCTCATATTGTTTTGGTTGAAATACATGAAGGAATACAACTAGAGGGAGAGATGGAGTTATAAACAAAAAGCCTTTTAAATAATTTTTTCTAATAATCGTGTATATCTTTGAAAGTACACACAATCTCAACAAATAATTTCTATTTTGGGGGTGGGGGCAGGTGGAGTTGGATCACACCACTGATGCTCAGGAAGTCTGTGGTGTCAGGGTTTGAACTAGGATTACGGCTGCAGAAACTTGCGAGGAGAAAGAGCATCTTAACTTTGGTGCTATCTCTCATGTCCTTAAAGGTTAGATACAACGTGGAATATGAAAGCATATGAATATCACTGAACAAGCTTTTGCTACTCTACAGCATTAAAATTCATCAGTCTTCTTGGCATTTGAAGGGAGCCATTTACTAACAAATGGTTCTGCAAACTTGTGAAAAGAAGACAGATCAAAACACGGCTTCAACAGCACATTGAGCCCATAGTGTACTTTATATGACTCTGGTATGTGGAAGAAATATGGGCTGCATGCCCCTCCCCCAATTTTGTCATAAGGACTATTAAAAAGATACATACCAAGTTTCAAGACTGAATGCAATAGTTAGTCCTGCAGTTTCTTTCTTTTCTTTCTTTCTTTCTTTCTTTCTTTCTTTCTTTCTTTCTTTCTTTCTTTCTTTCTTCTCTCTCTCTCTCTCTCTCTCTCTCTCTCTCTCTCTCTCTTTCTTTCTTTCTTTCTTTCTTTCTTTCTTTCTTTCTTTTTTGTTTTGGGTCACACCCGGCAATGCACAGGGACTAATCCTGGTTCTGCACTCAGGAATTACTCCTGGTGTACTTGGGTGACCATATGGGATGCTGGGAATCGAACCCGAGTCAGCTGCATGCAAGGCAAATGCCTTAAATGCTGTGCTATTGCTCCAGCCCCAGTTCTGCAGTTTATTTAAGAACATTCACTAATGAAACTGGCTTAAAAAATGTGAGTAGAAGAAAAAATGGCTGTTTAGAAAAACAGATTTTGTAACAGAAATACACAGTGGTACCCCTAATAGTGATTGGATACCAAGTTTCACTGAAAAATACAAATCATGGCTCAGTAACAAAAAAAATTCAACTAAGTAGCTCTGACTTCCTATATCCCCAAAAGATCCTGAGTATTTTCAGATGTCTGTAGACCATATTTGAGAACCAAGTGAATAAATATTAAGCTGCATCTTATCCTTAGTGAGCATGGTTACCTTTTCATTCTTGGAGAAGTTGAAAAATCAATACTTCGAACCTCTCCTTATTAAAAAATTATCAAGCCCCCAAAACCCACTTCAACAAAACCTTTAACTTCTAAATATAAACATGCACTTGCTAATACATGCTATTCATGAATTGAGAAAAGAAAGCCTGAATTCTCTGAATCTGGTTAGAGCTAAGTTCCCAGGCACCAGCACTAGCAAATGGCTGAGGCTGGTGGGCTTGACCGGGGAAACTCCCCTGGGAAATACAAAGGGAGTGCTTCTTGGACCAACTCTCAGAGACCTGGAGTATCTTGGGAACATCTTTACAACCCTGTTATTACCAAGGCATCTTAGATGCTATTTAGTTTGTTTCTTGTGACATTATAACTTTTCTTCTTTTTGTTTTTTGGGCAACACCTGGTTGTGCTTGGGGGCTAATCCTGGTGCTGCGGTTAGGGTTCACTCTTGGTGGTGGTTAAAGGGGCAAGGGAGTAAATTCAGACCAATTGTCTGCAAAGTTTGCACTCAGTCCTTTGAGCCAAAACATTTGAGTAGAAAAAAATGTCCATACAGGAAAAAAGATTTTGGTCCCTTCAATTCCTACACGTCCTTTCTCTACTGTAGAATGTTGAAATAACCATTTCTTAGATGGATATACTTCATCATTCATACATTTTGCATTGATTCTGCATTCTGAAAATAATTTTTACCTACAGAATCTGTCCAGACTCCTTCATACTGCACCCCGGATTGCAATATGCTATGTGGAAGCTAGTTAAATGCCCATTTTCAGATGAATGAGTAAACAAATTGTGGTATACCTTCTCACTACGGAATTATGATTCTGTTATAACAAGAAACACAGTCCTTATTCAGGCTATAGCATAGATAAATCAAGCCACAGATATGATTCCACTTACATGACAGGTCCAGAATAGGCAAATTCAGAGACAAATACTAGTGGTTGCCAGGGGCTCAGGGGAGATGGGCGACATGGGGAATGAATGCTAATCAGTGTGTGGTTTCTTTATGGGCCATGAAAATGCTCTGGTATTCGTGTGGTGCCATCTGCACAATTCTATGAATATACTAAAACTCAGTGAATTGCACAATTTAAAAGGGAGATTCTCCCAACACCTTTATTTGGTGTTCCCTTCTTTATCTGAGGATCCTCCCAGGATGGGAGAAGCATGCGGAAAGTAGACTATAGACCAAACATGATTGTCATCCATTGCCTCTTTTGCAAACCACAACACCCAATAAGAGAGAGAGAACAAAAGGGAATGCCCTGCGAAAGAGGCAGGGTGGGGTGGGGGGATGGGGGGTGGGAGGGATACTGGGATCCGTGGTGGTGGGAAATGGGCACCGGTGGAGGGATGGGTATTTGATCATTATATAATTGAAACCCAAGCACAAAAATGTGTAAGTCTGCAACTGTACCTCATGATGTCTCACTATTAAAAAATTTTTAAATAAAAAATAAATAAATAAAAGGGAGATTCATATGGTGTATGCATTATATCTAAAAAAAAGAAAAAAAACCAAACAAGCCCTCAAGACCTCCAGTATGTGTCTCCTGACCAAGTTTCTATGCTTTAATTTGATTTTTCTCACCACTCTCATTTCCAGGATCTAGAAAAGAAGTACTTTCTATTATACTGGCAGAGCAATGTATAAAGAGCTGAGATGAAAATATCTGTCAAGGACATAAATCTGTTGCCTTCTCTAAAACCCCTGCCCCACTGAGACAATTTTCCTGAGCGCAGAGGAAGACAAGGTACTTCCTGAGCCCTGGGAACATGCATTTCCCGCCCTCTGGGAGCTCTGACTCTAAAAGAGCAGGAAGACCCAAAGAACAAGCACTGCCATTGTAGTTCGAGGGTGAAGGAGCAGGAAGAAGGAAGAGAATTTCAAGGGAATATGACCCAAGAGCAGTGGAACAGCGCTGGGGTCTCTTTTGGAAGGGGAGGTCAGCAGGAGCGAGGCGGGGCTCTAGCTGGAATAAGGGGGTGAAGAAGTAGCTGGTCATGCTAGCCTGTGGGTTTCTTTCTCAGGTCTGTGGGTGTTTGAGAAGAGGAATCAGGACTGACATGTTTTCCAGGGATCAGGGTGGTTGCCTGTGGAATAAAGTGTAGATGTCTGGACTGACAGATGGCTTACTCTTCTATAGTGATGTATAGAAGGCACAGTCTTCTATCGCCTTTCTGGGTCAATGGACAGATAGCACGCTCTTCTGGGGACACAGACATGATATGTTCTAATGTGGGCAATGGACAAATGCACACTCTTCCGTGGTCAGTGGACAGATGACATGCTCTTTTGTGGGTAGTAGACAGAGAGCACAATATCCCGTGGGCAATGGGCAGACAGAACAACCTTCCGTGGGCAATGGACAGACAGCACTCTCTTCCGTGGGCGATGAAGACACATAAAAATCTTCCGTGGACAATGTTCACTCAGCACACTCTTCCATGGGCAATGGACAGACAGAACAATCTTCTGTGGGCAATGGACAGACAGCACACTCTTCTACGGCAAATGGGCAGACTAAATGCTCTCCTGACAGCAAGGATGACCTCTCAGTCAGGGAGCAGAGCTGGACTTCTGAAAGAAGCAGCCTCAGGTGGAGAGTGGCATGGTAAGCAGAGATCCTACAGGGAGGGAGAGGTTCGGTAGCTGAGGGTGAGGGTGGCTCTGAAACCCAGCAGTACCAGTAGAGCATCAGTGACTCTCCCCCTCAGGGGCTACTGCATTGCTTTTTTTTTTTTTTTGAATGTGTCTTGGAAATTGACTGTGATTGCATCTCTCAGAACAGACAGGCTCCCTCAAAATAAGTGAAGGAAAAGCTGACACTCCAAGAAGGATCTAAAAACATGTTAAAGATCTCATTAAAAACAGCCACTTGAGCACACTTGAAAATACTAGCTTGTCTGATTAGGTGCAGTATAAAAAGAGGGATACAAGCCCCACAGGTATAATAAACAGACAACATAAGAAACTCACGATTGTCTTCAAACTCTACAGCAGCAGCAGCAGCAGCAGCAAGCACAATCCAGGCTCCCCCCCTACGCCCCCCCTCCCTCCAAAAAAAAAGCCTTAAAATTTAACTCTGCAAGTTTGGAGAACATGAGAAGTCGAGAAGAAAGGCTTTGCATATATTAAATCACTTTGCTCCCAAAGGAATAATAAAAATCCTTAAAGTGTGTACAACTTTTGGATACTTGCATTTTGGGTTAAGAGAAATCTTATAAAATGCAGCACTGCCATACTTTTTAAAACATATCTACTGACAATGAGTTATTTTTCTAAAAAAGTAAAATGTCACCTCTTAGCATTCATATCCTTTCTACTTACCATACTGAAGGGCTTGTAGTGGAAACCAAAACAGAATAACTGAGTGGAAGAGGCCATTTAAACAATGAACCCAGAAAACCTGAGGGAAAACAAGAATCCATGAGAACCCTTTGCGATAAACTAGCTCCGTGAACTCTGACCTTTCTTTTTATCTGTAAGCTAGATTCACAAAACGTGTTTCTGTCAGGGCCACCACTGTGAATTAATAGAACTGACAGACACTTTCTGCCTCTTAGACCTTCATGGGTCATTTATTTATTTTTATGTTTCTCAAATGTTTTTTCAGCTTCACTGAAATGTTTTCTACTTCGTAAAAAAAAAAAAAAACCCAAAAATTCAAAGTTTAAATTTCTGCCTGAGAAGGAAAAGAACATGGAAAGTAAAGGCAGATCCTGAAATTCTTTAAGTGGTCTCTTTGCATAATTTCAGAAGAATTGACATTCAAAAAGATTGTAACTTGTGAAATCTCCACTTTCTCTTTCTCATGTGTAATAAAATTGTAAACTTTCCATTCATAAGGATAGAATGCATTCTCTCCAATACGCACATGCATTAATACTGAAAATAGCAGTTGCAACATTTAAACTGTATAATTCTTAAAGTAAAGCATCGTCCCTATGCCTGGTTTTATAAAACACTTTCAAATTTTTAACACCTTTCAACAGTAAACTTTATCCAATTATAACACCATTTAAGAGTTACTACTTTCCATGCCTGTTGTATTTTAAGAACAAGAGAGAAAGTATTTCTGGTACTTTCTTTGTTGTAAGGATGTGAAAGATTAAGTTATAGAAAAACTGTTGAGAATTCTTACGGCCTTTTGAACAGTTGCAGCTTTTCCATTGAAAAGTCCTTCTTGCACATAAAACTTATGCTAAATAAAATTGGCATGTATTAATAGTTTTAAGCTGTTCAAACAACAGAAATTAAGTTGCCTGCCTCCCAAAATTTTCCACTGTGATCTCAATCTCCTTTGTTAAGTCAGCCACGCTGAATTGTATGATCCAATTTACGCTCCAATACATTACACATTTGAACTTGTGTTACTCATTAACCTTTGTCTCTTCTCCTTACTATGTCATTACCACACATTTTTATTTGACAGAAAGCACAGGTGGGTGCAAGAAAAATTAGTTCTACTTTTCCATTTTCCTGACCGATACTTATTGTCACATGCTAATCCTTTAACCCCTTTTTATGACCTCAGAACCTCCGACCCTTTTTACCATAACAAACATAATCATCATCATTCAGGGCAACAATGATTCCACACTGGGGACCAGCAGCAACTGCTGTGTATACAAGTATGCATTTTGTAGTCATTTGTCCTGGAATTTTAAAACACGTATAATGGGATTGATTCAAAGAATTTTCTCTGAGATCGTTAGAAAAATCCATAAATCCTATAAAAAATGGCTGGCAGCATAAGTGTAGGGAAATGTTCAAACGGAAAGAGAGGAAGTATAATCGATTAAGGTCGATCTGATCATGTTTCTAAATGCACAGGCGCTGCAGATGATGAAACACGTTGACAAAATGAAACAATATCAAGGCATACAAGGAATGATGCTGCCACATTAAAACCAGGTGTGGCCTTTTCCTTGCCCACGAAACTCTCCTGTATTGCTTTGTGCAAAGAGTGTGAAAGGCGGTGACATTCTAGGAACAACCTGGGTAATCCCGTGGGCGTCAATCTACGGTTGTCAGCAACAGTCCCAGGGCCACGACTGTGGATCTGAAGTTAACTCTAGAGAGAACATCGAAGCCTGATCTCTGAGAGCTGGGGATTTAGAGCTGAGGTTGACTTGCAGGCCCGACCAGTGAGAATTACTGTGAGTATGCCGGTCTGTCGGTTGGGGGTTTTTCTAATTTTCAGTTTACTTGTTCTGGAAACAAGACACACACTGCCTCTTCCCCTGGCTTAAAAATATCCACCACAGGTAATGAAAAGTGTTATATAGCTCGTTTGTAGAATTTAATACAAAGTGCACATTATAAATATATTTTTAAAAAGCTAGCTAGTAGACACAGTAAAAAAGAAATGCCTAGTGTTAACATACCCCAATACTAGCAGTTTTAATGACTAACAGCCTGGAACTGTCATTTACACTGTGAACTGAGAGGCAATGAAACACCTTTTACTTGTAATATTCTTGGTGTCCTGAGCGTGAATGTCACTTGAGAGCTTTATTAAGAATTAATCAATATTAAAAATATCCTACATTAATGGTCCCAAATGCAAAATACTGAATTTATATCTATTAGTAACATGCTACACATATGCACAATATTACAAGAGAAGATTTTTATGAAGGTGATCAGTTGCTTTTTATTAAAGTCTAAAAATGGCATTTATAAAATTTCCCCCTACTAGATGGAATAGAAACCAAATGACTAACAAATAACAGTGAAAGACATTGAGAATATTTAGACTTTAGATTTATAGCAAATAAATATTTAATATATTTATAATATTTAATAGATCATATATTGTATATAATTTAATATATTACCATTTATAATCATATTTAAATTAAGCAAATACTTAGAATATTTAGAATTTTAGGAAAACATTACACTATGCAGAATACAAGATATTTTGATTGCTGAAATAAATAATACCCATGGATCACTACAAAGGCAAGAGTCCATGGCATGTTATACCAGAGATAAAATCCTATATTGGGGCCAGAGCAATAGTACAGCAGGTAGGCACTTGTCTTGCATGTGGCTGACCTGGGTTTGATCCCTGGCACCCCATATGGTCCTGAGCCTCACCAGGAGTGACCCTGGAGTGCAGGGCCAGGAGAAAGCCTTGAACACTGATGGGTGTGCCACCCCTTTCCCCCCCCAAAAAAAAAGTAGAATATTTTTCCTCGTATTATATTTTATAGTTTAGAAATACTGAGTATTATGACCATGAGAATTAATTCCCATAGACCCTAATTTAGCTAATTTAGCCCCTAATGCAAACAATGTCGTATCATGAAGAGAAAGTCATTTGACAAAATATAAAATTAGCAAAGAATAGTATAGAACCCCTACCGTCTATACTACACCCCCACACCCCCACCATTAACCACCACTTGACACATGTGAATGCAGTTGCTGTCATTCAGAGTGACGTGTCCTATGAGGAGTGAGCATTTGTCACAATCACGCAAAGACAGAAAGTCAAGGGCCAACATTCATGCCGTCTGTCAGATCCAGGCGTAAGGCTGCATAGCAAACTTTAGTGAAGTTTTTCTTTTATTCCATATTTTACTTTTAAAAAATGAAAACCAAACAAATTAAACCCATCAAACCCCTGCTTGTTTTAGACCAGATGGAATGCAAGTTTGACTGTCCTTGTAAGCACCTGGCATACAAGTCTTGGCTTTGGAAGACCAAGTGCCCCAAATGATGAGAAGAGCAAGTCTCACTCCCTCAACCCGTGTGCGGGCACTGTGTCTTACCTTGGTGTTGAAGTCCAGGGCATTCTGAGATGTCTTGTACAGTTCAGGATATTTCAGCATATTCTCCTTTCTGCATGATCTCTCAAATATTCCAAGAGTTAAGGGGGGCATGGCTGTGAACATCTAGAGCACACAGACTGGTTATTGCACCAAACAGCCAGCATCAGGGCAACATTTCTCACAAAGGATTCAATAAATGGGTGTAACCCAACGTTCCAAACTTACCACATTATAAAGACCTATACACCATCGTTCAAAGAGGATCTGTCCGGAAAAGCCATTCACAAAGGCAAACCAGATCTAGGAGGAAAAACAGACCAAAGCCACCTCTGTCAGAATAGAATGAGCAGGAACGGAGCTTGGCTGCATATTCAACTGTGCACAATGGCAGCACTATCATTTTATTTTCAAGGCTGTCTAGACAACAGCACTCCTTGGCTTTACTTTTAAGTGGGTTAAAGACTTTCATAAGGTTGTGATTATTTAAATCAGAATTTGTCAAATAAAAGAACTCTACCAGGAAAGAATCACTGATTTAGAAAGGCTAAATATACTCTTGTTTTCTAAAAGGTACTTTAGGAAATATATATGATACCAATAATTTTTTAGAGCTTGAATTCCCCTAAAATATCTAATCATTAAATATCTTTACTATTTTATTACATAAGAATGCTGATTTGAAAAAATGATGTAAATTCCTTTAACAATGCCATCACTATTGATTTTCTTCAGTGTTAGCTGTTTTTATAGAATTTCTATACATTCACAAATTCACCTTACCAGAAACCTACTGCACATTGTTTTCCTTTATTTTATAACAACATTTTCTCAAGCTGTCACACAGCCTTGAAGATGGAGTTGATGGGGGTATAGCCTCTACAGTACAGCTATGGCTATTTTTGAATATTTACTTTGCTTCCAATTTCTGTTATTACATATAATTGGGAATTGAAATTTGTGTACAGACTTCATACAAAAAAATCTTTATGATAGCTGCATTTTGGGGGTGCATAAAAAGAGTTTTATTGAGGTATACTTGATATACAAAGAAAATAAATAGACTTACTATACACAACAAGGTGATTTTATACATCTGTGTACATGCACAGTACTATCACCATAATCAATAAATCCATGACCTCCAACACCACCTTCTGAGTACTCTTTACCCTTATATGATTAAGTCTTAGAAACAAAATGAACGGATCCTATTGTATAGGTTCATGGTAAGTGTAACCATAAGGATGTAGAATTTGAATTTAAATATTAAAAACATTTTTAGTTTAAATTTATGCTTTGATTAAGGAGAAACTAAAGGAATAGTCTTCTATTGTCAAGAATTCTTTTTAAAAACAGAAACTTTAATTTTGAATTAAAAATTAAAGGGTCATCTAGGGAAACTTTAGGACATTTAAGAAAATGAAAAATAATGGGAATATGAATAAATAATACCAATATTTTACAAAAGTTAGCCTAAAATATACTTAGAAGTCAAGTTGATTTGGATGAGTAAGAAGTCTGTTCCTGAAGGATGAGATTACAAAAACACAATAACAAACCAAATAACAATAACAACAAAACCTGTTAGCAGAAAGTCTTGACAGGCTGGCTGGTCAAGTGAATTTTTGAATTGGAGTTGTCCCTGCTTGGCTACACTTCACGTTTCATTAAACTTCATTATGGAAGCATGAATTGCTACAAATTTACCATTTATCAATATGGACCCAGGCTGGCCTCCCTACCCACAGTTTCTGTACCCACATTGATGGTTTCCTTTTTTATATTGGGAAGGAATGGTTGAACATATATAAAAACCAATGTCTGCTTCATGAGATGGAAAAGAAAACAAAGTAGCAAAAGCACATGAAAAATAAGTCCAAATTGTGTTAGGGTGTAACACACATTAGCAAGAACAATAACAGCAACAATAGAAATTGGAGTCAAATCTGAAATTCTTGTGTGAGTCGTTAAATATATTTACAGAAAACTATTTCAACATTTGCTGGAGCTCAGGAGCCAAATCATTCATTTGTGCAAGCAAAATTTAAAAGAATGTAGGCATGTTCATGTGAAATGGAGCTTATTCCTTGGGGTGTGCTGCTGAATTCAAATTTTATTTATTTTTTTCCAAAGGCACAAGTTGACGTAAGCTGACAAGGCAGTTTAAAGCCCTTCACAATTGTTCCCACATCGGGTCTTTCTGAGATGTAGATTATGTAAATACATATTTGTGATACTCTGGGTGATGGTAATGCAGCCCCAGAAGGTGACCACGGTGTTACATACTAAGTAACTCTTTTAGATCTTCAGGTGTGAAGGATTTTTCAAATAAACTTTCAGGTGTGGTCCTGATGCTTATAAAGATGTGCTTCAATCTTTAATGGACCAAACGACCCTGAAGTTACTTGCACGCACACAGTGTCACAAATGTGGTTTATCTCGGAGGTTGTAATTATAAATGGATTTGCAACCATCAATACTGTATTACAGGAGGAACTGCTAATAAATTTGTCTATGTGTGTGCATTTGATAGTGATCTCTGAGTTTAATAATTCACCTTCAGCGCTGATTCAAAAGCTATTGTGTGCCTCTATCTATAGGAATTTTCAAATCTGAAATAATTTTTAAATTATCATGCTTAGGTCTCGTTTATTTTAAGATATATGCATTTCTTTCTGACAGAATTAAAGAAATTTTTTAAAATGGAAAGATATCAACACAGTTTTTATATTTTATTTTTTCTTACTGAAAAGCACGTGGACCTGTTTTTAGATATCTTCTTCCTGGATTTAGAAAGTGAGTGTTCTAATTAAAAAACAAACAGATTATCCCAAAGGAAAAATGAGTAGATAAGAACAAAAACTTTCATTGTAGTACTCTTTCCCTTTGCATAGACATTTTAGCCTTTAAATGTCCATGTTTTAAAGGGGGGAAAAGTCTGTAACAGGGATAATTCCTATCAGAAGAGTGACTGTACTTTAAATCTGAGATTTGTAATTCAAAGAGACATTAGAAACATAACCCATACTAACAACAACAACAACAAAAAAAAACAAAAAACAAAAACAAAAAACCCCATAAATTACTATAAACACATGAAACTCCTTCCTTTGACAAACAAAACCAAGGATGCAGAAAGAAAACACCAAAAGATCCTCTGGGGAAGTAACTAGATGACTTACACTTACAGGAAATCAATATCCCTGTACAATGTGTTGGGAACGGATCACCTGACTGACTGAATCAAAACTTCTGAAAGTTAGAAACATGACATTGCTTGGGGATTTTATCCTGAAACCTGGATGTGACCAATCATTTCAAAGAAAAAGTCTGATTTTACTACACAGGAGTCAGAGAATTCAGAGAGAGAGAGAGAGAGAGAGAGAGAGAGAGAGAGAGAGAGAGAGAATAGATTTCTTCAGAAAGAGCAAGTAATTTCAATGAACACCTACAGTGACTGCTGGGCATAAGTATGCAAGAGCTTCCACATGTAAATGCGAAGTAAATGCTTTATATCACCACCTGCCAAATCTGTATTTATTTGCTTGGCAGTGATTTAAGGCAATGGAATGCTAGCTAGTGACATTTCTGGCAATACAGCATTGGGAAAAACAGTTTCTGCAGATAATCTATAAAACCCCTAGTGTTCCAGACTAGTCCTTTCTTTGCAAAGAAAACTTCAGACCTGCCTCTCCTGGCATTATTTTCGAACTTCCAAGTCCTCACAGAGGCGTGGCAGTTAAAGCTCCACAGACATTTTCCTGATGGAGCATTTCTGCATATTAAACAGTAGCTTACAAATCGTCAATGAGTCCTCTGCTCCCACGCTTGATCAGCACAAAAAAACTGAAAAGGGAGATTCAAGACTGGCAGTTGTCCTCACTAGAGACATTCAATGATGTGTTTTTCTGTCTATTCATTCACAGTATTGACATGAGCCATTAACATCTGCAGAACTTGTTTTAGCTGGCAAAAGTTGGGTATCTGGGAATTGATTTAAAAGGTCAATTCGTTTCCAAGAGAGTTAAATTATATTCAAAATACATTTCCATAAAGTGCTAAAAGAAAAATAACTAAAAATGAGATTTCCAGTCAAGTTCAGAACTGACTTCCTTTTCAACATGTAAAGAATCTGATCAGAGTTAAATATCTCATGAAGAGTCAAATTTAGGGCTGATCAGCCATAAACTGCCTAACTCCGTATGTGCAACAAAGCAAGCAGATTTAGCTTTTCGTGTGAGCTTAATATATTTTATTTCCCCCAGTAGATTGTAAATTTTGTCCACTTTATTGTTGATTGCCAGATCATCTAGATTTTAAAAAGTGGCAAAGTTGAGTGCTCTTATTTCTTTGAACAAAATTCAAGTTTGTAAGCAGATTTATGGCAGTTATAGCACAAATCTGTCTTCAAAAGTATATGCAAATAAACTGGCAATGCTGAGATTGTTTTGATTATGATTGTAGATATCTTGGAGTGAGGAAAAATATAATTAGTAAAGCTAGAATTATAAAAGAAAATAAAGGGGACTGCGATTCCAAATGATGAAGAAAAGCATCAAAGAAAATTGTCAGTTCTTTTAGAACAACATTTTGTTTCAAAAAACAGACCCTTCCATGCCAAATTCTGCCCTAATGAACAATAAAGTAAGTTCACGGATTTTCATGGATTATCTTATTTATGTTTCCAACTGTTTGATTATTTTACCTAATGGGTTGTGACCAAATAATAGATTTTTAGTGGCCAGTAAGTGGAACTGCCTACACACTTCAAAACGGTTTTAATATTGCTAGCCTGACTTGTAATAAGAACTGTGCTCAATCAACATTTTAATAAGGAAACACACATTCTGACAGAGGCACAGAGAGCAGCTGAAACAGCCTTATAGTAACTAATGTGCAAACTGGGGAAAGGTGAGCGGACTGATTTCTCTTTTGTTTAGAGTTACTTCACTGGTGTCAAGTATGGATACTGTCTCCATATAGCAAACTCTTAGGTTGTGTCTCTTCTGAAAGACAGGGAAACAGGCAGCAGAGTCGAGGGTAAGGAAGCATCAACAAACCATGGAGAGGGTGCCCAGGCAATGAATGAGACCCGCATGGCTCCTTTGACAAAAGTAGAAGACACAGGGTTTTCTTGCAAGCTACGGAGAGCTCCTGTCCTCGTAAGCTGTCAGAAGCGTGAGAAACTTCTAACAAGCAGAGTAACATGCATTACAAATGAGCTTCTGATAATAACGGAGTATCCTTCTAGAAAAAAGGTAACTTATTTATCACATCCTAATGAACCCTTAGGTTTAGTTATCCACATGTGCTGTGCTGTCTAGTATGGTGACCAATGACCACCAGTGGCTCTGGAGTACTTGAAATGAGATGAGCTAGAATGGACATAAACTACAAAAACATACCAGATTTTGAAGACTTTTGTGTAGCAGTTACAATGCATAAAATATTCTATTCATATTTTATTTTATTATTTATTTATTTATGCTTTTTGGGTCACACCCGGCGATGCACAGGGATTACACCTGGCTCTGCACTCAGGAATTACTCTTGGTGGTGCTCAGGGGACCATATGGGATGCTGGGAATCGAACCTGGGTTGGCCATATGCAAGGCAAACATTTACCCTCTGTACTATTGCTCCAGCCCCTCTATTCATACTTTAATAATAATCACACTTTAAAATAGTAATACCAGTGATGGAGAGATAGTACTAGCAGGTAAGCTGATCCAGTTTAGATCCTTGGTGCCCTATATGGTTCCCCGAGTCCACCATTCCTGACCCTGAGGAAAGAGCCAGGAATAACACCAGAGTACCAGCCGTGAGACCCCAAAACAAAGTAAATAATTAAATGGATAAATAAACAAAATGACAATTTTGAATATATTGAGTTAAATAAAATCTTACTTTACAATTAATTTGGGCACAGCCTACTTAAAAAAAGTTGTGGTGCTTGAGATAAAACCCAAGACCCTACACATGCAAGGCTTGCACTGTCCCCTAAGTGAAACCAAGATACAATTTGGGATATTATTTTTCACTTGCTGTTAGTGGTTTTAGGAAAGTCAGCATTACACATTTGGTTTGCATTGCGTTTCAATGGTAAGCCCCTAGAGGACAGGAACCATGCTTGATATACTTGGGAGCTGCTGAACTGTGTCTAGTGCCTGCATTCGGGAAGTGCTCTAGAAATGGAGAGCAAAATGCCACTGTAAACACATATTCTTAATCTGGGTTAAGCCCTTTTAAAAACTTCTTTATTTGGGGCCAGAGTAATAGTATAGCGGGTAGGGTGTTTACCTTGCATGTGGCCTACCTGGGTTTGATTCCCAGCATCCCATATGGCCCCCAAGCACTGTCAGGAATAATTCCTAAGTGCATGAGACATGAGTAACCCCTGAGCACTGCTGGGTATGAGCCCAAAAAGAAAAAACAAACAAAAAAATCACTTCTGTATTTGATATAAGAATAGACGCAAAGAAATTCTCCACAATCCAGACACAGAAATGACATATTCTAGATAACATTAGTTAAATTCCTCATTTCCTGAATGTTTGTTACCTACCAAGCTCAGAAACAAAAATATTTTTAAAGTGCAAGTGTCTGTGTGCATAAGTGTGAAACCTAATAAGAATAATAGGATGACTCACATAGCATTCCTTGGAAAATCACTATGAAGTGTATATTTTCTGATTTCAACTGCTCTCTTCAAATTTTTATCATTCTCTCCCCCCCTTTTTTTTCTAGGGGTGGTTGTGGAAACTGGTCATATCAACTGGTGCTATTCAGGTGCTATTCATGCCTCAATGCTCAGCATATGTCTCGGTGGTACATGGAGATCAAATGAGGAACTCAGTCTCATGCCAGGAGTGTGTCCCACCTCTGGCCCTCTCTCCAGCCCTTCCTTTTGCTTTTTTCAGAAAATTTTAGAAGGCTTTCTCTGTGGATATGTCTAGTGCACTGCTTCCTTTAATGCCTTTGAGACTTCTGATAAAAAATATTATAAAGGCCCTCCCGTTGATCGTTGATTTGCTCGAGCGGGCCGGTAACGTCTCCATTGGAGACTTTGTTGTTACTGTGTCTGGCATATCGAATACTCTCGGTAGCTTGCCGGGCTCTCCGAGAGGGGCGGAGGAATCGAACTCGGGTCGGCCATGTTGGCCGCGTGTAAGGCGAACGCCCTACCCACTGTGCTATCGCTCCTTTTTTTTAAGGGCTGGAGCGATAGCACAGTGGGTAGGGCATTTGCCTTGCACGGGGTCGACCCGGCCGACCTGGGGTTTGATTCCTCCACTCCTCTCGGAGAACCCGGCAAGCTATCGAGAGTATCTCGCCCGCACAGCAGAGCCTGGCAAGCTCCCCATGACATATTTGATATTTCAAAAACAGTAACAACAAGTCTCACAATGTAGACATTACTGGTGCCCGCTCAAGCAAATTGATGAACAACGGGATGACAGTGACAGTGACAGTTTTTTTAAAAACAGAATATATTACTTCGTTAGAAATTCTATTTTAACATTTATTTTTTCTTTTTAATTTTCTTTTATTGAGTCACTTTGAAATAGACCCTTACAAAGCTGTTCATAACTGGATTTCAGTCACATAGTACTTCAACACCCATCCCTCCAGCAGTGTACATTTCCCAGTACCAGTGTCCCCAGTTCTTGGCCAGAGTGATCATTCCCAGCTATTATTGTCATACCAGTCTCTTCTCTAAACTACCCTAAGCACCTCCACCCCCAGCCACATATACACACACACAGAAACACACACACACACACACACACACACACACACACACAATCCAACCACTGACCAGTCCTTCTAACCCCTGTTTTCCCTGGCAATTATGTTAGTTTTCTACTATATACATATATATATAAAAATATATATATATTTATTTATTTATATCCCACAAATGAATACAGGCATCCTATATCTGTCCCTTTCCTTCAGACTAATTTCACTCAACATGATACTCTTCATGTGTATCCAATTATAGTCACAATTTAACATTTCTTACCTGAGCAAAATGACATTAATAACCAGAATTTAAACATTAATAATTCCCCATGCTTGATAAACCTTTAGTTGTAGCATGTTTAAAAGTTATTAAAAAGGGGTAGATGAACTATTAATAAAAAACATAAGAAAATGATGAAGTCTTTACACACACATAGCTGCATATATATATATAATAAAATTTTAGACTTGGTCTGACAGTACCTCAATAATATAGAGGACAATATTCTTGTAGAAACAATACAAAATGCACTTGGAGACTCTGTTATAGTTCCAGGCGCCATGAACCATCAATAAATTCTTCAAATACTTGAACTAAAATAAGAGTAGAAAACAAAATTAGTATTTTCTTTTTAGTGTCAGTAGACACAAATTATTTTTTATAGAAGTGATGCTTACCTGAGCTATGGAGTAATCAGAAGAATTGGCTGCCTGAAGGCCTTCATTGCCGCTTATACCAACTCCGACATGTGCAGTCTGGATCATACTGACATCATTTGCTCCATCGCCAATTGCAAGTGTTATGACTTTGACTTGTTTCTTAACCATCTCAACAACTTCAGATTTTTGAAGAGGGGAAACCCTTGAATTAGAACAAATAAAGACTTATGTTTCCTGAAGAAAGGAAAATATCAACATCATTGATAGTTTCATTGATGAAAATAACATCATTGTCTTTAAGGACAGAAGAAGTAAAAGATTCAAATGGGTAGCTTTATGAGAGAATAGTTATGGCAAGTCTTAGGTTGCCAATACTTGGTAATCTATTAACCTGATTGTTATTTTAAGGGAAAATAAAATTGAGTCTTAGAACAAGCTTCCAGATGTCAGTCAAATAGAAAGTATAAGGCCTTGATAAGCACTAGAATATCAGGATGCTTGTTTTAATTTGTTAAGTAACACTTGAGTTCTAAAATCTCATTACTTCCTAGTAACAGCAGAATTTTACATACAGTGTTTAAAGAGAAAGAAAGGAAAGTTAAACAGTGACCTGATTCTGCAAACTATTAAGAAAGAAATTAAATACTAAGAAACAACTAACAGAATTTCTAGATCCAATCTTAACAGGCTCAGGCCACATCTTCTGAACCTGTTTGCCTCTCCACCCTTCCAGATGATGTTAATAACTGGCTGATAACACCAGCCTTATTCAGATTGGGAAGTAGATACCCTCACTTCTGGCTAGGTTCCAGCAGCCTTTGCATCTGACCTCCATCATATTAATGGGTCCAGGCCATGTTTCCTGAAGCACCTGGCTGCATATGTGGCTTTGCCACATATCTGCTCAGCAAATTTCATACTACACACAGTTAGTTGTATTTCCTGTCATTGGGCAAAAATAGAGAAGGAAAAAAACTCTCGCCTAATACTTCAGAGTCTTCCAGGGGGTTATAACCACAGACTACCCTCAGCACAAAAGAAGCATTGGAAAAGCAATGGGGGAAACATGTAGAAGACCATCAAGTTCAGTGAGTGAAAGCCAAAACAAAGATGGCGCAACCAATGCCAACTAGCACTATAAATCCCCCGAGAATGATGTTAGTGACACCAGGGTAAGGATATTTACTGAGTTCAAAGAAACTATGACACAGGGAGTCAGTAAAACATTGTAGCACTGTCCTCCCATTGTTCATCAATTTTCCTCAGTGGGCCCAGTAATGTCTCCGTTGTGAGGCTTATTGTTACTGTGTTTGGCATATCGAATATATTATGGGTAGTTTGCCAGGTTTTGCTGTGCAGGCGAGATACTCTCAGTAGCTTGCTGGGCTTTCCGAGAGGGGCCAAGGAATCAAACCTGGGTCACCTGGGTCGGCTGCATGCAAGGCAAAAAAAGCCCTACCCACTGTGCTATTGCTTCAGCCCAGTAAAACACAAGAAACTATAAATATTAAAATGGAGGAAATTATAAACAGAAATTACAGAAATGAACAATATAGTATGTGATATTTAAAATCTCATTAGAGGAAAGAAATCAAGGTGTGTAGGGGGACAGTTTGTGGAGAAGAAGAAGATGGGAAGTTATGAGTGAACTGGGATCAGGGCTTCAGTTATACAGGTGATGTGGGAGAATGGTATATCATATATCCAAAAACACAAACTGAATCACACAGAAAACATGAAACCTAAGCTGCAACCACTGTAACTTTGTAGTGTGCCTGTCAAGGTCATAGTTAAGGATGGGGTGGGTGTTGAGGGTGGGGATGGAATATGGGAAACCTGGTAGAGGTAAGTTGACACTAGTGGTGGGATTGGTGTTAAAAATATATCCCTTGGAACATAAAGTAACAAAACAGGAGACTAACACCCAAGAATGGCCGAGATTAGTACCAGAAATTTTACTCCATGGCTTGGAGGCCAACCACACATAATAGGGGAAAGGGGAGCTCAGATAAAGAAGGGAACACCAATTAAAGGTGTTGGGAGAATCCTCCCAGGATGGGAGAAGCATGCGGAAAGTAGACTATAGACTAAACATTATTGTCACCCATTGCCTTTTTTGCAAACCACAATACCCAATAAGAGAGAGAGAACAAAAGGGAATGCCCTGCCACAGAGGCAGGGTGGGATGGGGGGAATGGGGGGTGGGAGGGATACTGGGATCTGTGGTGGTGGGAAATGGGCACCAGTGGAGGGATGGGTATTTAATCATTGTATAATTGAAACCCAAGCACAAAAATGTGTAAGTCTGCAACTGTACCTCATGATATCTCACTATTAAAAATTTTTTGAATAAAAAAAATTCAGTACACACACAAAAAATATATATATCCCTTGGGCTGGAGAGATAGCACAGCGGGTAGGGCGTTTGCCTTGCACGCGGCCCACCCAGGTTCGATTCCCAGCATCCTATATGGTCCCCTGAGCACCACTAGGAGTAACTCCTGAGTGCAGAGCCAGGAGTGACCCCGAGCATCACCGGGTGTGACGCAAAAAGCAACTATCAGTAACTTTGTAAATCATAGTTCTTTAATAAAATAATATTCATTTTTTAAAAATGAGGAGCATAATAATAGCAAGCCGAAGAAAACAGATAAGCTTCAAGATGAGATGGAGTAAACCTCTAGAAAACTAGGAAGATGAAGAAAAGTCTGAAGAAATGAACAGCGCACTAGCGATCTATGGGCTGAGCTCAAGAAAACAATCATCAGAGTCCCCGAAGGTGAATTTGATGAAGAACCAATCTAAAGAAATCATAGTTAAGAATTTCCCAGAGTTGAGGAATACAGCAACCAAAGACAAGAGGTGCGAAAGAGTGAAAACAGACTCTACTAGGAAAACTTCAAGACATTGTACTCAGACAAAAACCAAAGACAGAGGCAGAATACTGAAAGCAGCAAGATTAAAAAAAAGAAACTTTGCATACAAAAGAACGCTTATAAGATTCACAGGATATCTATCAAATGAGAACTGACAAGCCAGGAGAGTATGGAAGGACAAAGTATAAAACCTCAATGAAATGAACATTTCTCCAAGAATACTCTATCCAGCTAGATTATTACTCAGATTGGAAGCAGGATTCAGGGTTTCAGTTTAGGGAACTCATAGCCCTGAAACTAGTTTTGCAAGATGTATTAAAGGCGCTTCTTGAGTGCAGAGCCAGGAGTAACCCCTGTACATCACCCAAAAAGCAAAAAAAAAAAAAAAATTCAAGGACAGGAAAAACTTCCCAGAAGGTAGCACTGAGTGTAGTACTCACTCATGGCATTTATGGTTGCCCCCCTACTAGAAAAGAAACGTATGTTTACTTCTAGCTTGCTAAGGGATTTTATAATGATTTTATAATTTAATAATGAATTAACTTCTCATTATAGTTCTATGCCTGATAATTTTAAAACATACATAGAGGATTTTATTGCAATCTTTTTACTTATTAATGTTGGTCCTTAAGCAGTATCTAAGCTATTTTCTAATATAAAACCAATATTCCCTTCCTTGGGATAAGAAAGTTTGTACTTTTATACTTTTTACTATTCAGACTATCCCCTTTTAATTTTCTTAATTCTTGCCATGCTTACTAAAATTTACATTTAGGGAATATACCTATTTCATGTTCACTATAAAATATATTAACATGAAATTTTAAAAAATGTATTAATATTAGGGAAGACATTATAATTACCACAATGAGATCTAAGAATAAAATTTAATGCAACATACTTTAGATGCAAGAGCTGAAAACTTATTTATGTAAATGGATGGGCACTATATTGTACTAAGTGACTTGAATTTCTTTATATGGGTCACATCACTATAGTAATCAATCATCACAAATAAACTTTTATTGATTTATTTTCTAATAATTATATTTGCTATTCAAATTTTGTTGGAGGAAGCAACACGAAATAAATTTGTTATGTGACTACCAAGGGGGGCAGACCTAGGGGTGGGAGAAAACCTTGGTGTACTGATGGAGGTAAGGTGGAGGGATTGGTGTTGGAACACTGCATACTTGAAATAATCCTAAATTAGCAACTTTGTAAATTACGGTGGCTTACTAAAATGAATTTTAAAAAATGCCCCATCAGTAGTCTGGTGGTGGGTGTGGTATTAAATGTCATATGCACCATACCATCATTAGCAGTATTATAAATCACAGTACCTCAATAACAAATTTTTTAAAATTGAAAAACAAAACCAAACCAAACCCCGGGGCTGGAGCGATAGCACAGCAGGTAGGGTGTTTGCCTTGCACCCGGCTGAGCAGGGTTTGATTCCCAGCATCCCATATGGTCCCCCCGAGCACTGCTAGGAATAATTCCTGGGTGCATGAGCTAGGAGTAACCCCTGTGCAATGCTGGGTGTGACCCAAAAAGAAAAAGAATACCCAAAGCAAAACAAAAAAACCCCAAACAACTTACATTAGTTAGTTAGTTACACCAACATTACAAGCCACGAAAACAAATCAGAGCTAAGTTCTTTGTCAAGTCAAAGCAGAGAGGGCCAAATAAATATTTGCTGAAAATCTGTGAAATGATTTATGATTTTATTTAAAAATGACTAAAATTATGCAGAAAAATATGACACCTATCCACGGCTGCATATCTTCCTGATGACTATTCCTTAAGAAACATACCCAGTAGTGGCAATGCTCTCTACACAGTCCTACTTGTTCCCAGCAATAGCCAATGCTCAGCAGAGCTCTACTGCTGCCCTTCAGTTAGGGCAGCTCTCATTCTTCTTTGAAGCTTAAGAATCTCACAGTGATTCATAAAAAAAAAAGAAAAAGAAAAAAAATCACTGCCTTAGGCTGTGAGGGGCTTGCAGAGCAAGTCAGTCTCCTCATCTTTGTATTACTAGTGCTGATCCGGAATAGGTACTCAATAAATAGCTGCTCTACCAAAGAATTATTTCTAATTCTTTGGATTTCCTTTCAGAGCTTGGCAATAGTACAAAATAACACAACTGTGAATACGGCAAGGGACTGAATGGATGCGTATCGGGCCATTAATGGGCTGTTTCACCACAAGTTCCCATTTTTCGCCGAAGCAATTTTCAGTTCTATTACTTATTTAATCTTTCTTAACAGGCTTAATATAAATTGTAAACCCGCTAGATCAATGTTTTAAACATGGACCACAGCTG